TCTTTATTCTCACAACAAGCTTAGTATATTATATATCCTAACTTTTAAGATGAGAATAGAGACTCAGGTTAAATTAAATGTCTTTTCTAAATTCACAGTTTGTAAGAGGCCTCATCATGAATGAAATCAGAAAGGTGGGTGGAAAGTTAGCCACCTTCCTATTTGCCTAAGTGGTCATGGGCTGAACCCCTGTTCTGGTCTAGACCAGTGTTTCCCAAAGTGTGGTACGCGTACCCCCAGGGTTACGGGAAGAGTTTGGTGGGGTATGCTCTGCACCGTTCTTAGCTGCGCCTAATTCTACGTTCTCATAAGTATGAGGGGTACTCAGCGTTACGAAAATTATAGAAGGGGCACACATATATCAAAAGTTTGGGAAACACTGGCCTAGACAATTAAAGCAAAATAAGAACTTACCTGGGAATGGTAACTGGAAACTGCTCTCAGGGTCATCTACTGGATGGAAGCCTGATGGGGATGCCTGAGACCTGACCCAGCTGCTCAGATCGCAAGCTAGAGGTAGAAGGCAGACACACAAACAGCTCTGCCATCTGGTACATCCATCTGCCCAGCTTTATAGAGTTTAGTGCCTGGCAGCAGTAGGAGAAAGCTGGCAGGGACGAGGTGATACTTGAAATCAATTTTGATAGAAATGAAGACTTAACAGAAGGAACTGAAAGCAAGGGCATTCCAGGCAGCAACAGACTAGCTTACACAAGAAAAAAGAGAGAGTAGGAGGAGAGAGTTTTTTTGGCTGTAGTTGAGGGGGAATTATGAGATAGAAAGGTAGCCTGAGGGACAGGAAGGAGACACCTTAAACATTAAGATGAGAACATTAGCTGCACAGATTTCTGAAATGGCCTTTCTTGGTTGGACATTCCATACTTGTGTCTTGTTCATTTTTGTATTCTCAGCCTCTAGCTAGGAGGTGATATACTTCTATGCTAGTAATGAGGACAGGTTCAGAGAGGCCAAGTGGCTGACCCTAGATTATACAGTAAGTTATATGCATACCTAATAAGATTGCTGTAAATAGCTTACAAACTTTGATAGTTAAATGGTAGTTGTTAGTGACAAATGACATGGGACCCACTTAGTTGATCATAACATCAGTGGTCAAAACAGATTCAAGAGTCACTACCATGTCCACTGCTATTTGTTGTACATTTAATTTTGTGCTAAGTAAGCACTTATTTATTCTTCATGATAACCTTGTAGGGACTTGAATTCCTGGTATACAGATCAGGAAACAGGCTCTGAGAGACACCACGAGAGTTGGCTCTTAGTCCAAAATTCAAGCTCTTTCCACACCTACAGGCCCTGGTTTAGGAGGAAGGGAGCCTGGTTTCAGACCCTCCAACACTTGGAGCAGTAATTCTGGAACTAACCCAGGTCCCCTGAAGGCAAGACTGCCACCGAGTGCTGCCTAGTGCCCACCTCAGCCACTCTACCATGGTAATCTTTGGGACAATGACTTCTCAGTAGAAAAGAGGAGGAGGCCACTGTTCATCTGAGCCAGAGAGGTTAAATGCCTTATTTTGCACCGCAGCCATGCTGCCTCCTCCAACAGGCCTGGCTTGTGTGTAAGCACACTCCGTTCCCTCAAGTCTGTCTCCTCGCAGACACAGGTACTACCTGTCCAGATGTCCCCATCTGTGAGGTCCCATGTAGTCTTCCCTCCCCCCATCTCTGGTCCCCTAGGGATTCTGGTTTATTACCCAGGCTTCTCCCCCCCCCCCCCCCCCCCTGCTTTGGAGATGTCCTGCCAGTCTGGTCTCAGCCTTAACTCTGATCTCAGGTCTGCTAATCTGTCACATGGGTAACATTGACCAGGCACTCACAATGAAAGATGATGTGTCTCCTAAGCCTCTTACCCTGATGTCTGGGCTCTGCCATCACAGCTTCTTGGGGAAAGAAGGAATTGGCCAAGGGTCCGGTACTATCTAGCGTGGCCATGGCTGTGTTTGTTTTCTCAGGAAGGGGAACTATTCCTAACAACTGTTTAGCTCTACCAGGGCCTCTGGTCATGGTCCATTGGACCATAAGTTCTATAAGGAGAGGATTCATATTGGACTCATTCACAATATTCACAGCACCTGGCACATTGTAGGTGATCAGTACACGTTTGCTGAATGAATAAATGGGTTAGTCTTCCATGTAGTTGTCTGGACCCAGCAGCTAAGTGATCATTTATTTATTTGTTTATTTTATCATCACTAATGGACTGGTTCGTTGGCTTTGCATCTGGGGCCTCATCCCTGGGAGCCAAATGGTGCCTGGTTGGTGACCAATGTCTGGAAAACAGGAGCTGTGGCTGCAATATGTTCCTAATATTCTTATTAATGGCATTTATCAGTAGCAGCTGTGGTACAAGGTACAAAAGGTTCTTGTCCTGTGGTCTTGCAGCCTAAATGATAGTAAACAAAACAAGCAACTGGCAGCTCCTCCTCCCCTCATATTTCTTATTAAGGCACAAGAAGCATCACTATCTCAGATTTATAACAAGAACATCAGGAATAATGGCAGGTGCTTCCCATTTTACACACAAGTAAAAGGAAGCCCAGAGAAGCACATATTTGTCCAGTGTGCAGGATTATTACTAGCTTAGCCTGGAGCACCCATCTTTTTCTTGTACTCTATCCAGGTGGTTCCCGCTCTATCTGGTCCACGTTCTGAAGCTTGCCTCCTATTGCATACTGGCTATGTCACTGCAGGCACAACCTGGGTCTTCAGAAAGGAGAGAGTTTTAAGGAATTTGAAAGATGGAAGATGGTGAATGGACATTTGGGCCAGGGGAGGTGGCTTTAGTTGTGCTGGCCCTTGAGCTCCACTGTCCTCACCTCCACGGACAGAGATACATGTGTCCTTGTATCATGGCAGAGATACATGTCCTGGTATCAGCTATCCGGGCAGAGGCAACTGCTTCCCATTTTTTTCTGCCTCCGCTTCTAGAATCATTCTTGTGCAGAGGCCTTTTAAAAATCTCCAAATGGCCCTGGGCAGTGTGGCTCGGTTGGACGTCATCCCATGCACTGAGAGGTTGCTGAGGTTGCTGGTTTGATTCCTGGCCAGGGCACATGCCCAGATTGTGGGCTTAATCTCCGGTCAGAGTGTGCAGGAGGCAGATGATCGATGTTCCACTCACATAAAATCATCTGATGCCAGTTTGCAACGTCCTGGTTCTTGCTGGTAGTGATTCCTTGAGGAAGAGCTCCAGCTGCTGGGGTGCACTGACAAGTGGCATCTCAGCTCTCGCAGCCCTCGCACAGACAGGTGCTGGAGTTCCTTTGTGATCCCTGGCTCCGGCTGGGATGGAAGACCTCCTTCCCACCTCCATCCCCTTCCTCCCCAAAGCAGTATCCCAGGTGTTCCTCTTCCAAAGACATTGCTGCACTTGGCTTCTCACAGACTCTGTAAGATAATCTGTAAGAATGAAATTTCAGGCCCCAGCTTGGGACATTTTAGGTGACAGACCCCAATAATCCAGGACAAAGGTTGCTGCGGACTCACTGTTGACCTTAGAAGTAAAAGTTATTTTACCTGGCCGGGTATCTCAGTTGGTTAGAGCATCTCGCAATATGCCAAGGTTGCGGGTTCAATCCCTGCTCAGGGCACATCAAATGAGTGGTACAACGAACCAATGTTTCTCTCCCTTCTGTCTCCAAAGTCAATTAAAAAATAAGTCAGTTATTTTACCAGCAAAAAAAAAAAAATGAGTTTATTTGGGAACAGCAAAGAGTTGCAAATCAGGACATGCAAACCTTAACAAAAGCCATAGAGGCAAGTCCAACAAACGAAGGAAAGGAATCGTATTTTACGGAGAAAAAGGAATGAGAGTTTTTGAACAAAGGGCCGTTGGAGAAAAGTGGCCTCAGGGAGATGATGGTTTCTCATTGGCCCAGTTGTAGGGTAGTTGGTTTCTTGTAGGAGATGCAAGAGCATCTTTTCCTGTTGGGGCCTATGATTGGCAGTTCTTCCTGTAGTTGCCATGGAGTGTTAGAGCTTCCCCTTCTGGCCTCTGGATTCCCATTTTAGTAGTCCCCTTTTATTTTCAAATCACCAAGCTCGCTGCCTGCTTACTGTGAGGTGAGTGCGGAAAGAGTGCTGAACCCCTGCTTTTTACTTGGAGCCCCAACTAACAGCTGTCAGGGTTGAAAATGCCGGGGGACCCGTGGTCAGTGTTTATTTAGCTTGGCAGTGGAAGAAACTCCTCTCAGTCCCCCGCACCTCTGGAAACCCCCGGAAAAAAGGGAGGGTGGGCATAAGTGGCACTTTGTTTGCAAGTCTCCTAAGGCATAGCCTTCTGGCTGTAGGGATCCATGGCGTCGCCCAGTCACAACCAGCCATTCCAGGTTCATATGCAGAACCCCCCAGGACAGACAAACCAGTGAGACTGTGTATGGAGTTGTACCTTTCTTGTTTTTCTCGGGGGTGGGGTCGAGGGTGAAAGACTGAATGGTAGTTCCTTAATGTTTCCTTTCTGTCTGGTGGTCTGCATTCCCTGGATGTGGAGGCGTCTTCGGGTGTTCTCCAGTTTAAAGGTAGGGGGCAGCATTGTCTCCAGCTGATCTGGAGAAACGCTTAAGAGAAGTATAGCCTTAGGGCTGGAATAATCGGTCCCCATTCCCGCTCCCCCACCTCCTATACCCCTTCCCCCCCCCCCCCCCCCCCCCCATCCAGACCACGGAAATAGCGTGTGCGCAGCCTGTCGTATTTTCCATGTAAAGTGGATCTCCTCGAAGGGAAAATGATCTTTCTGGTCCTTTAAAGAAACAGCCATACACTTTCAATCAGCCTACATAAACTATTTTGGATTTTAGCCCAGCCCAAACCACGTGCCCTTGAAGTCCCTCCTGCTAAAAGCTACGCCCCAACCTCAGTCGCCACGCCCGCGCCGAGTCCTAAGAAGCCACATCTTACTAGTGATCACCAGCCCTCAGGGACCCCAGGGTCCAGGGGGAGTTCCTACCTGGGCAACGCCCCGCTGACTGCCGGGAGGCGGCTCAGCAGTTGGGGTTGAGCACGCGGCAGGAGCAGGTGCTGCGGAAGAAGCGGCACATGCAGGCGGCGCACGGGTCACAGCAGGGGGGCGCCGGCTGTCTGCAGCTGCTGCGGGTGGCCACGCAGGGGTCCGGCGGCGGGGGCCGGAGCCGCGTCACCTTCTTAATCGAAGCCTTTCTCTGTTGGGAAATGCCGGGGCTGACCCAACGGCCCACTCCCGCCCCACCCGACCTCACCTCTGCCGAGGAATCTTCGGGCTATGGAGGCCACGGACCCACATCCCCACCCACTGCCCACCACCTGCTTGCCTCACCCCAGGCGGCCCTGGCTGTCCCTAATCATTCCCTCCGCCTCCATCCTCAGCAAAACTGACAGGGCCTGGCCTGGCCCTCTTCGCTCCCTAAGGGATCCCACTCAGCTCCAGTTTTTAAACACCCCTTCTCCCTTTTGTATCTGCAACCCCACTCAGTACTGCCTTCACAATAAATCCTGACTCTACTCTCCTTCGCCTCTGCTACCCCGGGCCAGGCTGTGTGCTGTGCTGCCCTGGGCCCCTCCTAGCCCATCCTCCAGTGCTCCGAAGAAACCTCTCCGAAGACCTGTGATGGCATCCCACTCTGGTTTCAAGCCCCCAATGGTTTTGCTTTGCACTCGGGAATAAAACATGAACTTTACTTTGGCCCTGAGGCCCTGTGTGCGCCCACCCCTCCCCTCAACACCTTTACCACACTGCCCCACTGGCCTGTGCACAAACGAAGAAAAAGTGTTCCTGCCGGGACGGTTTGGCTCAATGGATAGAGCGTCGGCTTGGGGACTGAAGGGTCCCGGGTTCAATTCCGGTCAAGGGCATGTACCGTGGTTGCGGGCACATCCCCAGTAGGGGGTGTGCAAGAGGCAGCTGATCGATGACTCTCTCTCATCGATGTTTCTAACTCTGTATCTCCCTCCCTTCCTCTTTGTACAAAATCAATAAAATATATATATTTTTTTTAAAAAAAGAAAAAGTGTTCCTACTACAGGGTTTTTGAACTGGATACTCCCTTTCCTGTGTCTAGTGCAACTGAAGAACTGAATCTTCAAATTTTGTTTAATTTAGCACTGGCTGGTGTGGTTCAGTGGGTTGGGCATTGTCCTGTGCACTGAAAGGTTGCCCCTTCTATTCCTGGTTGGGACACATGCCTGGGTTTGGGCTCCAGAAGATGGTGAGGCAGCCAATTTCACATGAATGTTTCTCTTTTGCTCTCCCTCTTAAAAAAAAAAATCAATAAAGATCTTTAAATTTTTTCATTTAATTTTAATTTAAAACTGAAGCAGTATAAAATTTTTTTGATAAACACTTTATTGTTTTTTTTAGGACTACGTTTGACTTTGTTAAAAATTAATATCAAAGCTGAAACCGGTTTTGGATCAGTGGGTAGAGCGTCGGCCTGCCAACTGAAAGGTCCCAGATTTGATTCCGGTCAAGGGCATGTACCTTGGTTGCGGGCACATCCCCAGTAGGGGATGTGCAAGAGGCAGCTGATTGATGATTCTCTCACTATCGATGTTTCTAACTCTCTATCCTTCTCCCCTCCTCTCTGTAAAATATCAATAAAATATTAAAAAAAATTTCCTATTGGAAGAAAGGAGATTCTTATTTTTAAAGAAAAAAAATATATAAATTAATATCAGAATTAAGATGTGGCCCAGCCAGTGTGGCTCAGGAGTTGAGCAATCACCTATTAACCAGTTAGTCATGGCTGGTATCCCAGTCCTGGCACATGCCCAGGTTGTGGGCTCCATCCCCAGTAGGGGTCATGTAGGAGGCAGCTGATTGATGATTCTCTCTCATCATTTATGTTTCTCTCTTCCTCTCTGAAATAAAAAAAAGAAAAGAAAATCATATTTTGAATATATTGGGTTAAATTCAACATTAAAGTTAATTTTGTGGGTTTCTTTTTACTTTTAAAAACTGTGGCTGTTAGAACATTTAAAATTATATATATGGTTCCCATTGTATTTCTACTGGGTGTTGCTGTTTGAAATTACTGAATTTTTCAGTCTTGATATTTAAGTGCTTTCTTGCAGAGGTTTTCCCTTCTATCTCATTATCATGCTTTAATTCCTTCAGTGTTTATCATATAAATAATTTTTTTTCATTGGTTTACTTGCTGTTTGCCTGTTTTCCCCACAAAAAACTCTTGTTCACTTCCATATTCCCAGTACCTAGCATCTATACTAATAAAAGAGTAATATGCTAATTAGACCAGGAGAGCTTCCAGAGACCTTCCAGAAGTCCTTCCGGACAAAGCCATGGTGGCGGGGCGAAGGCAGAGGCAGTTAGGGGCGATCAGGCCGGCGGGGGGGTGGGGTGGTGGGGCAGATGGGGGTGATCAGGCTGGTGGGGGGGCAATTGGGAGCAAGAAGGCTGGTGGGGGGGCATTTGGAGGTGAGCAGGCTGGTGTCAGGGGCATTTTGGGGGAGCTAGCCATCAGGGGGGTAGTTGGGGGCAATCAGTTTGGCAGGGGTGGGCAGTTAGGGGTGCTCAGGCTGGAATGGGGGGCATTTGGGGTTGATCAGGCCAGCAGGCAGAGTGTTTAGGGGTGATCAGGCAAACAGGCAGGTGAGCAGTTAGGAGCCAGCGGACCCGGATTGTGAGAGGGATGTCTGACAAACATACCCTGAGGGGTCCCAGACTGGAGAGGGTGCAGGCCAGGCTGAGGGACACCCCCTCCCCTATGCACAAATTTTGTGCACAGGCCACTAGTCTAGATATATTTGTCAATTATATACTCTTATCTGTCAATCATATAATTTGCTTGTTCACTTCACCTAAGGCCGAGAGAGGAGCAGGAATGTTATCAAGATCAGTGCCAGGTCCTACCTCCTAAAGCCTAGTCCTGGCTTCCCTTGTCTGATTACAGATGATCTGATAAAAAGAGGCACACCAAGGAATAATGTGTGCATTTCAACAATGCCTTACTCTAGTATTTCCCAAAGTGTGGGAACCTGTACCATAGTGATATGATTTTAAATGGTGCATAAATATTAAATGATGCTGAGTCCCAGTGAGAAAGAATTATTTATTTTCTATCTTGTTCAACTTAAAAGGCTCAATATAGTTTGGTGTCAATGTGTCCTTAATGCCTCCCCAATACTTTCTAATCTTCCTTTTAACACAGAGAACAAACCTCAGATTTAGAGCATTTGGCAGGACATACCATTTAGCTAGAATCCACTAATGGTGTTTTATTTTCATTTTACTTATTATTATTTTTAATATATTCTTATTGATATCAGAGAGGAAGGGAGAAGTAGAGACTGCAACATCAATGATGAGAGAATCATCGATGGGCTGCCTCCTGCATATCTCAAGCCTGAAACCTAGGCATGTGCCCTGACCAGGAATTCAACCCTGACTTCCTGATTCATAGGTCAGTGCTCAACCACTGAGCCACACTGACCAGGCTCATTTTACTTATTTTTATAGTTAACTTCTACTTATGACAAATGATACTGGCTTTCTGTCACAGTTATATAATTTATAACATTTTAAATTAAAACGTATTTAATAAATAGATGAGACTCAGATGTGGCGAAAGTTGTGGAAATGATTCTGAAATGACTGAGGTTTAGGTAACAGTGCATTCACCCAAAATTTCAGGCAGGGGCCTCGCTAGTATAGGAAGATGCTTTTCAGCATGTCAGTTTTTTTACTCAGTGAACCTCAGCTCCTTGGGCTTCTGTGAGGGTCTGGTTTAGGACTCAAGGGCGGGAAGCCTTTAGGTAGCTGTCAGCTTCCTTTCTTCATGTAGGACTGAAAAGTCATTTAGTTCCCAACCAGAGCTTGGGGGTCCTCCCCTTCTAAGTCCAGCCCCACCCCCACAGTGAGAACTCCAGGCCTACCTTGGAAGCTCTCTTCTCTTCTGACTCTTTTCTGCTGATCTTTTTGGACTTCTTGTTGAGCCCTTTAAAGAGAGAAAAGAGCAAAGACAGATGTTTCTGGGGCCCCGAGCTACAGTGAAGTAGGAAGTGCTGAGGGTGCTCCAGAAAGTCCAAGGTGGGGGAGAGGATGAGAGGTTGGCTGGATGAATCACATCTTGGCACTTAGGCCATCAGGTCCTTTTTTTTTTTTTTTTTGCCATCAGGTTCTTGTTAGCCTGGCTCCTAACCTGGAGCCAGGGACTGAGAGCAAAGTGTCCTCTGAAGGAAGGTAAAGGAGAAATTCCAGAAGGCCCTGTAAAATGGACTCAGTGTCTTACACATGGATAGACCTAGGTTTCCTGTAGTCCTATTTTCTATCTCTCAGAGCTTTGGAGTCAGGCAGACCTGATTTAAATTCAGTCTTTGCGATATAGCATCTGTGTAGCCTTAGCCAACCTACTTATTCTTCTTAAGACTCAGTTTTCTCATCTGCAAACAGGGTACTGTAATACCTCCCTTGCAGGGCTGTCGTGAGGATAAGTAAGGTATGTTTGTAAAGTGGAAAGTCTGGCGCATGGAAGGTGTTCAATCAGTGCTTCAACCCCTTCCCTTGCCTTCATCTAGAATATCCTCTTTTGTGAGTGAGAGGCAAGGCAGTAAGGAACATTAGTTTTTATTTTAGGTTCTGAAGTGAAACAACTGGATTTAAATCCTGCTCGCCAATTAAGAACTGTGTGATCTTACGTTAGCTACTTAGCTTTCCTAAGACATAATTTCTTCAACTGTGAAATAAGAGTAAAAATAGTGCCTCACCTCACAGTGCCTAGCACACAATAAGTATGCTTGTTATTATTTCCAGATGGAATTAAAATAGATCTCTAGTACCAGCTGTAATGGCCCTGATACATTCCCTGAGCAGTCATTCTCAACCCTGGCCTGACAGGACTGGTTCATTCCAGACCTGGTTATAGTTTGCAGGATTTCCTAAAGTTTGTTACCACTGATAGGTGTGCTGTGGTTCAGTAAGTATCAGAAATGCTAAGTTAAACTAAATTCACAAGTGTCTTAACTTTCCACGCCTCTAACACGCCAAGCTACATTTTAGGTAGGTTGGCACGCAGGGCTTTCCTAAACCGAATGAGTCAAGGGACTCATTTGTCCAGGCTTTATTCATCCAGGATTATTTCATGGGATGAGCAAGAAGGAGCCTTGACCTATGGCAATGGATCTTGGTATCAGTCTGGGGGCATGTTTGGCATCCTGAAGCCCCTTCTCAAGGGTGAGAACTCAGAAGCTGGACCCAAGGTCAGGCTACTTACCCATGACAGAGACAGAGGGGGAATCCCACAGGTCCATGGAGGAGTTGCTCCTCAGGCTTTTGTCATCTTTGGGCTTCTGTTCAGGTGCCAGGTGGCTATAAGCAGTGGAGAAGCACAGGCAGACCAGCAGGGTGGCCAGGAGCAGGCGGGTGACATCCATCTGAGGGGGCCTGAGTGGGACAGGGAAGGCAGTCAGGTGATGTGACAAGAGAATGTGCCCTCCTGCTTCCTTTGTTTCTTTGGGCTGGTGCTCTGACCCAGCTCCACAAATGTCCCAGGGGAACCGGAGGAACAGCAAGGCTTAAGACAGGGAAGGAGAACTGATGATGGAAGAAGAGAAAAAAGGAAAGATGGGATGAGGAAGAAAGACAAGGAATGAAGTAAGGAGAAAAGGAATGCATTGTGATTGGATTCTGCCAACCAGAGGGTAGGGTAATGTATTCCCCCCCCCCCCCAAAAAAAAAACAAAAAACCAGTGGCCCCAGGAGACCCTAAGCCTGGGCAGAGTTATTCAAAGGTCCCTACTACTGCTTCACAGAGGCAGAAGTTTTACTAAGGTGGAGTGAATAAGGCTCATAAGACTCGGTGAGAAAGATGCAGCAATAAATGCTCCCTCAGACAAGTGTATGTGGTCGCATAGGCTGTATTCCCACACCCAGAGGGGATGAATGCAGGTATGGTTTGAGTCAGGAGAATGAACTTGTGCACAAAGGCTAACTGTATTTGTTGATTTATTGATCTGTCACTAGCCGGATCATGATGAAGCAACGGGTCCCAGAGTGGATTTCTTCTGGTGTTTGTGCAGGTTTGTCTCAATGAGGGCTCCAGCAGCATCTTCCTATTCTCTAAATGCAGGATCTCCACCCAGACCCTCCCTGGGCATGTTCTCTGTGGTCTGGGAAGCTGAGGCTGCTTTTCTGAGGTTCTGTCTGCCCTGCCATAGGCTCTGTGGGTGAGAAGAGAATGTCTGTTCTTGCTGGTCCCGCCCACTCCTTGGCTCACCGTCCGTTCAGCAGCCTAGAAAATATCTAGCCTAATCTTCCCAGCCTTCAGCTTGGTTGGAGTAAAATTTTCTTTATGTTTGTTCTATTCCAGAAGTAGGGGATCCAAACAGTCAGCCCTCACCCTCATTATAAACTTCTTGAAGTCCATCCTCTACTCCTCTCAGCCCTAATGACATTTCTTCTGATTTCTTTAGATCCCTTCATCATCGGGCATTTGCCTAACATGAACTGGCCACCACTTTTCTTCTCAAAGCCTGGTAGAGAGTCAATGAAATGAGCACTGGGCTTGGAGTCAGGAGCCCTGAGTTCTTGTCTTGGCTTAAGCATTAGTAAGATGTATGACTGGGTTAATCCATTCTTTATTAAAGAGTCTAAGTTCCTTGTTGATAAAATGAGAGAAGTGGCTAGGCCACTGCTTTGCATTCATTTAGTAGCGGAATTCTTCAAATAAACGTTGACTTGCAGAATACTCAAATGTAAAACAGAAAGAGGTAATAAAGAAGTTTCTTAGGCAGCTCACATCTTTGTTGTGTGGTGGTTCAACAAATCTCATGCCCTAAAGCCTAAAACATCCATTCAGGCCCTTAGGTTCTTACCTCATGCAATTTGATCTCTGAGGTTCTAGCTCATATTAGCTATAGTTAAACAAAACAAACGTGTATAAAAAACAAACCAGTCCTGGCCAGTTTTGCTCAGTGGTTAGAGTGTCGACCCACAGACTGAAGGGTTGCGGTCAAGGGCATGTACCTAGGTTGCAGGCTCGATCCCTGGCCTGGTTGGGGGTGTGCAGGAGGTAACCAATTGATGTGTCTCATATCAATGCTTCTCGGTCTCTCCCCTCCCCTCCACTCTCTCTAAAAGAAATCAATGGAAAATTTTCCTTGGGTGAGGATTAACAACAACAACAAAAGGTTCCTTTGCTATATAAGCAACAATAAGTAATAAACTTAAAATATAATTTCTTAGAACCCAAGTAACTTAGTGGAACTATAAAACTACTCTGAGTCTGGAAAGGGTGAAGTCTCAGTGGAATTAAACTTCTTTGTGTATTGGGAGAGGGCTAAAAACCAGTATACCTTGCACCAATCCTGGGGCGGATATGTATATTCTAAATGTAATATAGGTTCATAATACCTGGTTGTATTATAATCCTTGGAGTCAGATTTTTTTTTTTTAATTCAGAATTTTGTTGGTTGTAAGAAAACAATATCTATATACTTTATTAAACCCCATTATAAAGGGGCCCGAGAGCATCCATGATAAAAATACTGATGCTTCTGTAGCAAAAAGATGTGAATATTCATGACAACAGAACAAACAAAGGCTGTGAATAGATTCACACACTCAGGTCAGGTTTGTTGCCAAATGATTTTAGGTAAGGTCATTTTGCTGTCAAATGACTTACCAAAGGAAAATTAAAACCTTATAATTTTCAGAGTTAGGGAATTTGGAAAATTCAGGTAAAGGATTATGGGCCTGTAAGTAAAAGCCCCTATTGCTGTTACTACTCTACATGGGACACACACTCCCTGCAATTAACACAGGATAATAATGCTGGCAGCAGGGGAGAGGATCCAAGATGGCTGCTTGGGTAGACACCTAACCGCGGCAGCACACAACAATTTCAATGGAATACAACTAAAATGTAGAGTGGACATTGCCCAGAGCTACACGTAGTCAACTGACTGAAAATTCTACAAGAAGGAAAGAGAAATCCAGAAGGAAAATCAGAGGAGCTGAAAAATCCTAAGGTACGGAGACATGCTGCGCGCACATGGAGAGGACGCAGCCGGAGAGGAAGAGAAGGCTGGGTGCCTGCCTGGCGTTCCCTAGCAGGAAGGAAATAAAAACCCCGGCCTGGGCTGAACCCCAGAACCGGCAGTGCTGACCCCAGTTATGGGCCAGACCCTGGGGACCCCGGCTCGGGCAGAGGGAGATGGGGCTGTGAGGCAGAATCCCAGGGGAGCGGCGAAAAGCAGAGCCCCCGGAGTCGCGCACATTGCGCGCAGAGGACGGAATGTTGACTCTGATGCTGGATTGCCCTGGTGGGAAGAAACAAAACCTCCGGCGGTGCTGAGCCCCACTCCCGACTGCTCTGAACCCCAGTTCTAGACCAATCCCTGGGGACCCAGGCTCAAGCAGAGGGAGACGGGGCTGTGAGGTGGAGTCCTGGGGGAGCGGCGAAAAGCGAGCCCCCGGCGCCACGCACATTGCGCGCAGAGGACAGTCTGTTGACTCTGATGCTAGATGCCCCTAGCGGGAAGGAGAAAAAAAGCTCCAGATTGGAGGAATGTGACGAGGAGCGGGAGCCCCTGTGGGACACCGGCCAGCCAGGCGCCAGCAAGGAACTGGGTGACGGGGCCCCCGGGGGGGGGGGGGGAGGATGCCCCTGGGCCTCCGACCGCTGAGTGCGGGCAATGGAGCAGCTGGAGGCTGCTTCCTGGGTGGCGCCGACCCCGGCAACAGGCTGAAGCAGCGCAGGAGCCCGCGGAGAACAAAGGGGCGCCACAGGCCAACCTGCTGAGCTCCCAGGACAAGGAGGAAGAAACCGAAGAAGTTTTCAATGTGAAGAAATCAAGTGAGAGCAAAAGATAGTAAAATTACGGCCAGGCCCGGGGGAGCAGGCGGGTCGGTTGCGGCCAGGCCCGGAGCAACGGCTGCCAGGCTGGGAGCGGCCAGGCCCGGAGCAGCAGCAGCCAAGTCCAGAGCAACTAGGTCGGGAGCGGCAGTGACCAGACCCGGAGCAGCTGGTTGTGGAACGAACCAGAGCAACAGAGGCCAGGCCCTGAGCAGCTCGCTCCTCGCCTGCCCCTGCCCCACGGCTGCTTCTCAGACATGGCTGGAAACTTTCGTGGGAACTTGAGGGTCTGCTGAATCAAGTGATGAAGGCTTAGATCTGGATGTGTTGAGTTAGTATAGGGCTGGGGTGTTGATCTGTGAGTGCCTTGGGTGGGGCCTGGATGAGGCTGGTGGACCTATTGGGAAATGTCTTTTGTGTGAAGTGTATCATTGGGCATGTGGAGGTATTATTGATATGAGAAAATGCTAAGTAACTGATTTACTATCTGAAAAGGGATTTACTATTGGGGAAAGGGAGGGAAGAAGAGACTGAACATAAACTGCACCTATGGATGAGGACAATGGGGGATGGGGAGGGGGCGGAGGGTGGGGTGGGAACTGGTGGAGGGGGGAAGAAATGAGGAACCTTTGTAATAATATGAACAATAAAGATTGATTAAAAAAATAAATTTTAAAAAAAGATAGTAAAATTACTTAAGAAAGAATACAAAGAAAATCTTGAAAAATCGAAGACTAAGTCAGAACTCAACTCAGCAGCCAACATTGCAACAAAAATGCATTAAAAAAAAAAAAAAAAAAAGGACAGAATGTTGGAACGGTGGCGGCCAGGCCTAGAGTGGCCAGGCACAAGGCAGTGGCTGCCGGGCCTGGAGCAGCAACAGCCAGGTCCTAGAGCAGCAGTCAGAACCAGAGCAGCAACAGCCAGGCCTGGGCACTGGCAGCCAGGCCTGATGTGGAGGCAGCCAAGCCCAGGGTGGCCAGCCCAGGAATACCCAGGCCTGGAGTGGCCGGGCCCGGAGAAGCCGGGCCCAGAGCAGCCGGGTCGGGAGCAGCCAGACCCAGAACATCAGCAGCCAAGCCTGGAGCATCCAGGCCGGGAGCTGCCAGGCTCGGAGCGGCTGGGCCTGGGGCAGCCGGGCCCAGAGCAGCCAGGTTGGGAGCAGCCAGGCACAGAGCAGCAGCAATCATGCTTGGAGCAGCCAGGTCGGGAGTGGCCAGGCCCGGAGTGGCTGGGCCCGGAGCAGACGGGTTGGGTGTGGCCAGGCCCAGAGCAGCAGCTGCCAGGCTGGGAGTGGCCAGGCTGGGAGCAGCCGGGCCTGGAGCAGCTGGGCCCAGAGCAGCCGGGTCGGGTGTGGCCAGGCCTGGAGCAGCAGCTGCCAGGCTGGGAGCGACCAGGCCCGGAGCAGCCGGGCCCAGAGCAGCCGGGTCGGGTGCAGCCAGGCCCGGAGCAGCAGCAGCCACGCCCGGAGCAGCCAGGTCGGGAGCGGCAGTGGCCAGGCCCGGAGCAGCCAGGCCCGGAACAGCTCACTCCTCGCCTGCCCTTGCCCCATGGCTGCCTCTCAGACATGCTAGAAAC